AAGTACTTTCTACCTCTTTTTAACGGCTATGTAATAGCAGTATCTCTCCTCCCCTCTTTCTGAAAGGGTCAGGGAGAGAAATGCAGCCCCCATATCAACTGCATGAAAATTGAAAGAAGGTAGAAAACTTGGCTCTGTACCTGATACCAGTGACCTCACTTGTGCTTTCCTTCCCTTAAGGTGATTTTGAACTGTTCAGCACTGCCTTGTCTCCTTCACTTACTAAGCAGTCCTAAGGAGTCAATTAGGAAAGAAGCCTGCTGGACAATTTCTAACATCGCAGCAGGAAACAGAGCACAAATACAGGTACAACTTCAAGGTCACTTGAAATGAAAATGCCTCGGATTCCAAGTTCAGTGTTAAGGAAAAAAATTGCAACTCTTTTCTGTTCTAAAGTTAGGAAAGAAGCCTGCTGGACAATTTCTAACATCGCAGCAGGAAACAGAGCACAAATACAGGTACAACTTCGAGGTATATTCGTTTCAAGTAACCTTGGATTCCAAGTTCAGTATTAAGGAAAAATTTGCAAACTCTTTTTTGTTCTGAAGGTTTTTGCAGGCAGGTTGCTTCTAGCTGTCAGCCAAGTAAAATAGCTAAAATATGCTAACTCTGCCTGCAAAGACTACTCCTGAAATGAGTCCCCACTGTGGGATCGTTGGAGTAAGAAAAGGACATAAAGATCATGTCTCTCCCTGCTCAATTAGAGATACCCTGTTGAAAAACTGTAGCTTCTTGAGATTTAATTGGCCTTTCAATGGCCTACATAAAAAGGCAGGTAAAATGAAAGGCCTTTTGCAGTACTGATGCAGTAATACTGTGCTAATTATGGAATTGAGTAGCCTGTGTTAAAGGGATTTGCTAGAGGAATAAAATGGAGGAATCGTTAAAAAAGTTTTAGCCTGGAAAGTTTATTGGAAAGTAGAGTTAGGGTTTTTCAGCTGTTTTTGGAAACCACGTTGCCAGCTCAAACCCTCCTTCCTGTTCTCTCTCCCCAGGCAGTCATAGATGCAAACATCTTCCCGGTGCTGATAGAAATCTTGCAGAAAGCAGAGTTCCGTACAAGGAAAGAGGCAGCGTGGGCTATTACAAATGCAACGTCAGGAGGAACGCCAGAGCAGATCAGGTACTCCCAAAGGCTCCTTTTAGGGGAAATCGTGCTGAATACGTGGCAGCTTTGTCTTTGGGAATTGCAAGACAAAGTAGTAATGGAGTAAAGCTTTGCAAAACATATTCCTATATTATTAGGTAACATTAGTTTGGCTCATTGTCGTGAGTTTGTCTAATGAATGAAGGTGATGCTTGCTATCCTCAAAGCTGAGTGTACGTTCTTGGTGCTCTCCTTGTAGATACCTGGTAAACTTGGGTTGTATCAAGCCTCTTTGTGACCTGCTGACTGTTATGGACTCAAAGATTGTTCAGGTGGCACTGAATGGCCTGGAGAACATCCTGAGGCTTGGGGAGCAGGAGGCTAATCAGAGCGGGACGGGCATCAACCCTTACTGCAGCCTGATCGAGGAGGCCTACGGTAGGTTGGGGCTGGTGACCTTGTGCTGTTGACTTTGAAAAACATAGGTTATGTTGACAGGTGCTGATTTCATCGGCTTCATTTCTGCCCAGCATTTAAATGTGTACCAGACAAGGGATTCTGTTCCAAATTAGCTTTGGAAGTGTGTTTGATTCTCCTGGTGAGAGCAATTCTTGAGACTTCCAAGTGTGCATTATTGCTTGGACGTTTCCTTTTCTGTGGTGGGTTTAATTTGGAGAATTAAAGCAGTTATTGCCCTCCTGTTGGACGAGGCTGGTGGGTCAGGGCCTAATTCTTTCCCCTTCCAACTCCAGAACTGTCAAACCATTCACGGCCCGTTGTATTAATTCCACTGACTTCAGTCTGCAGCAGAAAGCTGTGATCAAATCTGCTTTAGCTGATGCAGCTAAACCTACTGTTGTGTGATAGAGAAAATCCCCAAGCAGCTCTGGGGTAACAGGAGTTAGTTTTAGATGCCAGCGTGCTGCTGACAAAATGAGAGTTTAACACAGGCAGGGTGTTAGATCCTGTGTCTGGAATTAGGAGCAAGGACAGATGTGGGCAGTGTAAACTCTAGCATCTCCTTGTTTCATTGCGTGCCACCTTTCTCTTCTCCAAAGGCTTGGATAAGATAGAGTTCCTGCAGAGCCACGAGAACCAAGAGATCTACCAGAAGGCCTTCGATCTGATCGAGCACTACTTCGGAGTAGAGGATGACTCCGCTCTAGCTCCCCAGGTAGACGAGAACCAGCAGCAATTCATCTTCCAGCAACCTGAAGCCCCCATGGAAGGTTTCCAGCTATAATGTGCCCGGAGGGGGAAGGAACACCACAAACTTGCCAAGAAGCAACTGGGAGCAGCTGATGGTCCCACCCCCTCTCCTTGCAAATGGAAGGCTAAACACCCACTCCACCTGTTAGGAAACAATTCTTCCTTCAGAAACAACTAGAAGCAGTGCTTTATCCTCATGGAGAGAAGGGGATGTTCTTACACTTTTTTTTTCTCTTTTTGCTGCTGCATTTGTGTCTTTAAAGCAGGCATCTGGGTGGAGGAAGGACACTGAGGTAACAGATTGCACCTCTTTCTTTTTGGTGGTCTCTCCCAAATGTCACTTTTTACCTCGGGTACTTAATTTGAGATTTCACCATTGGGTTGGGTAAGAACACAAATAGAAAGTAAGCATTCTGACAGCAGTAATTCTGAAAACCCGGGTTGATCTATTTAATTTTTTTGCACATGTTACTCTTTATTAAAGACTCTAATTTGCCAAGAGCGAAGTTTAGCCCTGGCCTTTCTGCGACCCTCCTTCAGGGGACAACAGTCCTGTTGGACCTGGGCCAAGTTCCCCTGAAATATACTGTAAATGCACAAGAAGTGGGAAAGTCTCCCTCTCCTGAGAAGGCTTTCTGGGGAAGGATTCTTCCCTTTGCCTAGATTTTTTTTCTTCTTTTGAAGAACTGCTAGTGGTATTTACAAGGAAAAAAAAAAAAAAAAAAAAAAAAAAAGGCACCAAAACCCCAAAGATGGTAACTATGAAAAGGGTGGGATGCTTGGGTGGCTTTTGAAAGAGGAAGCACAGCTGCCACTGCACAGGCTTTGTTTGCATTGCTACTGACTGAAGTCGCAACGTGTTGAAATGGTGAAACCCATCTTCATCCTTACTTGAAAACTATACTTTTTTTTTTCATGAAAACATGTTTTGAGGTTTTTGTTTTTCCTTTCTGATGGCGTTGGGGCGGCTCCCCAGCTGGGGTGGGGAGGAAGACGGCGCTGTTGTGTGCGGTGTTAACTTCAGTAGCAACAGGCCTGAGTTTTCAGGTTTCACTCCTGCTCACAGTTGGATCATGTACATTTTACTTCAAAAGGAAGAGCCAAATCCTTGTATTTTTTATATTATAGAGAGGTAGCTATTTGTCTAATTGGGCTGCAGAGAACAATATATAAGAAATTTCTGTAATTTATGTAAATAGAGCACTGTGAGGCAGGCAGACCTGGAAATGACGGTCTCTGGAATCACTCACTGGTTGTCCTGCATTTTTTTCCCCCTCTGTTTCCTCACGTACTGTATAAACAACCCTAGCTCTGTCTTAAACCGCTCTACCGGCCTGGAGTTTACTTAGCCACGACCTCCTTAAAACAGCAACGCGGGCGGGCGCTCGGCGAGGCAGGCCGCGGCTCCCCGCTCCGCGCGCCCTTTGCTGTTAACGAATAAACCGCATCTGTGCATGGGCTGTGCCGTGTGGCTGCGGGGACGGGAGC